CAAGAGATATACAACGGACGGACTTCATCGACAGGTCCACAAATCAAAAGAACCCCGAGGAACAGTTCAGGATGATCTCAGATGGCTAAGAATAGCACATTTATTAAGTTTTAACGCGAGAGAAGTGACATGTGATGGGATGAAGATGTACAGATAAAATATTGAGGGTCTCAAGCGGGTAACGCAAATCAATGCAAAAACCAAGACAATTGATCAAATGCTCACAACCGGAAGAAAGCACATCTTCAAGTCTAGCTAAGTTATCAGGAAAATTGTTTCTCTTTATAGTTCGAGATTAATGACCGTTTAGTTCATGATAATATTTATCGTAAGCTTTTGGATATGAAAAAGTAGTGTGGTGGTCTGGGGGTGCTTGGAGGGGTTCGTTTAACTAAGAAAAAGTTCGGCTTGTTTCGGAGAAACCGAGTCGGATGGGGATTCTCACAAGGCTTACCGTATCTAACGCTAAGAAAGATATGTAAAAAAAATAATGACAGCAGCGGTGCGTAGAGACGTGTCCAACCTGTTGCCAGCCACGTTGAGAAAGAATCAACAACCTAGTTTCAGATGCAGGCGTGTCAAAAGCAATGTGAATGTTAGCTAGCGCAATATAATGAAACTGCACGAGGAAGTGAGATCTACCATGAAGGAAAGTACAATTGTTTTGACAGCACTCCGTATTGTTTATTATTTGAACACGTAACCAATTACATAGGACCGGCAAATGTGTCGCAACGTATGAGGAAAAAATATGTAGAGTGAGTTCACAGGTTGTGTTGACATGTCACTTCTCGATTGCCCTGATCGAGGAAGGGAGATAACCTTGGGGTCCCTACCCGAAGCGTTTGGCTAGAAAGCCAGATATGCAAGACAGCAAGACGGAGCTCAGAGTCCGCAGTCCATTAGGGACTGGTGTTCAGTTCATCGGGTCATACACCCTGCATACATACCGTTCCAAGTATTCTAGCCTTATAAGAAATGACAACAAGAACACCACTGCTGTCGGTTCGCTGCCATATCCTTTGATGTCTCCAACCAACCGGTTGTGGATTCTTTCGCACCCTAACATGGAAGGCGGGAGACACCTAATCTTCCTAATGGCTCTGTACATTCCTTCATGCCTCGTCTCCACGTCATCTGTTGACCTTCACGTGATTTCCTCCAGCCCGGATTAGCTACAGCCAATAAAGTGCGGTGCGGTAGACAATGACTGGGTATATGCAATATTTTCCCTAGCCAGCGAAGTCTACTTATCTGAATTCGGTGTACTAGCAGGTTTATACCCGATAGACTCCCAAACACACAGCGGCTTACCTCTACATTACTAACCCGTTCGCTTCATCCCGCGTGGACTAAACCTCCTAAACGCAGACAATCAAAAACTGCTAATAAATCGATACCTTCTACTCGTAAATTTAAGGCCTCAACAGGACTGAACGAACGCTAGCACTATATACACGACCTTTCAACTTCAGTGAAACGTCACGTCTACACCAAAGGTTATTCAGTCTTGCGTACGCTGCTCGAGCCTTGGAAATATGGGCGGTTATCTCCTTTACTGCGCTGCCGTCATTGGTCGCGCAACTACCTAAGTAGGAAAAGCAATTCACCATAACTAATTCCTGGCCCTTTAGTTTCAGAACGGGAGTAGGCGACACCCAGTCCTGCAGGATCACTTGGCACTTTGAAGGTACCGAATGTGGCAACTGTACTTTTCAGTCTATCAAGTGCACCTTCCGTACATTTGAACAGACAGACAACGTCATCAGCGTATTTTAAATCGCACAGCTTTTCTCCACATGCTCATTCAATACCTACGTTTTCAAGATCAATTAGTGCGTTCTCCAGTATTTCGTCGTAGACGAAATTAAACAGGAACCGCGAGAGAGAGCACCCTTGACGAACGCCGCTGCTGGTGACGAATGGTTTACTTAGTTCATTATAGACCCTTACACGACCAGAGGTAGGTGAGTACAGCAAGTTAACGTACTTCTTGGTTATTCCTTTTCGAAGGAAGAATCCCATCAGCGCTTCGTGGTCAACCGGGTCGAAGTTTCCTTTCAGGTTAAGGAATACTGCTACTACTACGGTTGGTGTGACGCAGCTCAAAGACCTGACGTAACGTAAAAATTTGACCAATACATCCACGGCCGGGTCGGAATCCGGCTTGCTGTTCACGGATGTTAGTCTCATCTTAAAGGAGTCAAATGTCAAAGTATGACGGAGGCTAGCGCATTGGTGACGATCGGGATCAAACTTATCCCTCGGTGGTTTTCGCAATCATTGCGAGATAATTTCTTAAAAACTGGGACCGATCAGTGATTCGCCCCAAGATGAAGGAGTGCACTCTTGTGTCCCAATGTTGCGCAGTAAAGTAGTAATTAAGCTTACGATGTTATCACAGCCCATCCTGAAAAGAGTGGGAGAGAGCTCGTCCGATCCTGCTACCTTTTCTCGCTTCGGAGTTTGAATGCAAGACCGAACTTCTGCTTCTGCCGGAGCATCGCACGCCACTGCCCGCGGAGCTTCAGTTACAGATGAAGTAACCTGACTAGCGCCAGGTCAATTGAAATGTTCGCTGAAGTATTCCGTCCAGCGATCAGGTTGTTAATCCCTATCATGAATGACTTGTCCTCTGTTACCACAGACTGTTTCACGAACTGGAGTTCGTCGACCTGTATTGTGTGTCAATCGGAACTATTCCTTGATTCGGCTGCTACTTCCATTTCACTAGCTATTGTTGCCCGCCAGTTTTTACGGTCCTTGGGGCTCTTTGTGAGTTGACGTTGCAGATGCCACCCAACTGTGTTTTGATCCTGGCAGGTCGGTATTTGTCGCTCTTTATCCATCAGGGCTACTGACTCCTGAGATATCCAATCCCTCCGACGGGTTTGTGTCTTAGACCCACACGCAAAATTCGCTGCGCAATGCACCGCTCGGCTTATCTAATTCCACTGCTCTTCTGTATCATCACTTTGAAGCGCGCTTAGCTCACGCGCTAGTGCTGACTCATAGCGATGCACGGACTGTTGGAACAGACAGCCTAGGAGCTATCCGAGTTTTCTGGTTTTGTCGCCGGTCAATCAGTCGGAGAGTGAATCGCATCAAAACTAATGCGTGGTCAGGCTCAACGCAGGTAATTCCATCGGACCCGCAATTTTTCACTGCGCCACGTTGCCGTCTGTCGAGAGCTATGTCGGAAGTTGGTACTGGATAGGAACAATAAATGGTCTGCACAGAAATGAAGTCGATCGCCATTATCCGTTCGCTGTCAGGGCAGAGCACAGCTACTGCTTAGGCAAGTTCCGGATGCGCTCAGTTTCCCAAACTGAGCCTTAAAGTCGCCTGCAAATACAAATATGTCGGAACTTCGGCTAAAACGAATGCGACCAGTGAGTTCATCGTAGAAAGCGTCCTTTTGTGTATCAGAACTGCATATGCCGATACGATGAACAAACACCTTTTGGTGTTGCTTCCCTCCCGGACACTGATTAAACCCTGGAGACGCACTGTTGACGGGAATCCAGTCGATAAGAGACGACTCAGCCCTGTTACTCAGCACAATACCTATCCCTCGCTGACCTACTGAACGGGCTTCTTTATCACCTGATGCGCGGTGGAAGTACCTCAAAGACAACTCCTGGTGCATTTAAGTGACTTGTAGCATTAGGATCCCGGATTCGCGTCTCCGATACGCAGCAGAAATCAATCCCCAAGGAGTCCATTGCACGCGCCAGACACGCTTGTTGGACTACCTGCATCAGCGTTTTCACTTTGAAGGCCCCCAGATTCAGTGATTGACGAGGCTTCAGAATCTGCAATCCATTTCGTGGTAATTTACTTACAGTGCTATTTGACAACAACCATAGGCGAGCGACATCCAGATTGCTTGAGGGACTGGGTACTTGTACTCTAAACATTCGTCTTTCTCGGCTTTGTTGTAGTCGTTTAGAAGGCATAGAGTAAATCTGCCTCGCTACAGCATGATCCGTATCTCATTTATTAGGTAGCTTTTAGTCTTCCGTAAAACAGCTGCATTTTTGATTATCCTCCATTGGTTCCTCTACCACCTACCGTATTCAAAGACTTAAACAAAAGCTGAAGAAAACACTGATTATTTATATATTATAATCGTAACCCAACCATTCTCTATTACAGTGTTTCTTTCGATCTAGGGGATTGTGGTTTTGATTGTTAACCACAAGAAGAAACGTGAAGAAGTTTCTCTTCAATATATTGCTTCAGGCGCTTACATATATAGTTCCATCTGTATGTGTGTAAAATTTCCGATTGATAACAAGCTATCGGGTCACGATAAAGGGATAGGCAAAATCAAGGTGAAGAGTGTGAAGTATACGTGATATCAAAGGTGTTAGTCAAGAAAGTGCGAAAGTGTGAGGAAAAAGACAGTAACTAAGGGGAGAGAGTAGAATGGAAAAGGTGTCAAATAGGTATATAGAGCAATCACTTCTATGGCCATGGTAATAGCCACGTTTTAACCAGGTTGTTGCTTGCACAACTCCGGTTTCATAATCCTAACTGCTATGTATACCGATTTCAAAAACACCGTTCCGTTGCGTTTCACAGATACAGATGTTGACGACTGGAGAATCCCTTGGAATCAGGTCCAAACACCTATTCGTCGTGTGTTTATCTGACGTCTGACATTCATTTATGGTGTTTTTGAACTTTCACAGCCGATTTCTTTGCAGTGCGTTTTGCGTTGATATTAGCTCACAAACATGCCTCTTTGCTGATAATATTGGCAGAAGGTATCCAGTCCCTCATCATTTCCACTTGTTTTTGTTATTTCCTCATCAGTTTCATCCAGCCTACAGCAACCTTTCAAAATATTTGTTACTAATGCACTCTTGATTATTCATGTTACCTGCTTCTGTTTTACAGTGCAATTCGTCCGACACAATCGGGCGGATTCCAAGGATCCAATTCATGCATCGTATTTCTCATCCAATCCCCACGACTCTCTTTTCCGTCATCTGATGACTGCAATCATTCGTAAGAAATTGGTTGTTGTTGGCGATGGTGCCTGTGGAAAAACCAGCCTATTGATTGTATTCAGTAAAGATCAGTTTTCGGAGGCATATGTACCAACAGTCTTCGACAGTTTCGTCTCGGACATAGAAGTGGACGGCAAAGAAGTAAGTGCTGTTCTCCACTTCGTTAGCTCAACCAATAAAACATCGTGTGTCCTCTTTTTTCTTTTTAATTCCATTGCCCTTGTTTTTCTGCATTTCTAGTTGTTGCCGGGAGCTGTCTAAGCTACTTGGCTATCGTTCCGCTTTTTTGTTTCCTAGTAATACATGCAACTAATTCACTACTGCGATTCGACGAAAATTGAGTTGTGATGAGGACAGCAACGATAATTGTCAAATAGCTTGTCTCGCTGTTGTTGTGAGATGCAAGCCCCACGGTACCATTTTTCTTTTTTTCCGCACAAAATTGCAGATTCTGTTCTACCACCGGCATTGAGTCTGATTATGCACTAGTTCTGATGCGCTTCACTCTTCGACTCATCGGTCATCGGCAGAAATCGCCTCTTCAATTGGCTCATCATCGTCTGCGTGATCCATCTGTCTGCGCACGTTATGAAGAGAAGCAGGGACAGGAGCTAGGAGAACCGCGATATGATGGAGTAGATCAACAGTGGGATCAAGTTAGATTTGCGATTTGCTGATGAAATGGATATAGCTTCTGTATCAGGGAGACGGGAGACGCCTATTTTACCTAATGACCCTGTGCATTTCTTCATGCCTCGTCTTCGCGCCATCTGTTAACCTCCACGTGGTTTCTTCCAACCTGGAGCCGCAACTGCGAATAAGGCGCGGTGCGATTGACGATGGCTGGGCATGCGCAATACGTATCCTAACCAGCGAAGCCGACTAATCTGAATTCGATGAGACAAGGAATTCTTCATAGAATCATTACCAAATACACTACGATTTTCCTCAGAGTTGCTTACACGCTCGCTCCATTCAACCCGCGCCAAACTACGTAAACATTGGCAGTCGAAGACTTCTGGGCGACGAATATCTTCCACGCGCAAATTAAGGGGTTCGCAACCGTAAAGCAGAACTGACCGCACACTGATACAGTATACACGATCTTTCAGTTTGAACGAAACATCACGTCTGCACCAAAGGTGTTACCGTCTTGCGTAAGCTGCTCGTGCCTTGGAAATGCCAGNTACTTTCTTGACTATGCTGCCATCACTTGCCAAGCAGCTACCTAAGTAGGGGAAACATTCCACTATAACTAATGCTTGACCATCAAGCATCAGCGCCGGGGTGGACAATACCCAATCTTGTATCATCAATTTGCACTTCGAGGGTGCAAACCGAATACCCAATGGAGTTACAGAACTTTAAAGTCTGTCAAGGGCGCTTTGCGCATCCTCCTTACATTTGAACAGGTATACGATGTCCTCAGCGTACTCTAAATCACATAGCTTTTCTCCAGCTGCTCATTCAGTGTCAACATTTTAGAGACCACTCAGTGTTCTTCAGTATTTCGTATACAAAATTAAACGAGGATGGCGAAATAGGTCACATGTGACGAAAAGCCCTCCTGGTTTCGAACGATTTACTTAACCCCCGTAGACCCATACGCTATCAGAAGTATACAGGTACAGCGACCGCAATAGATTTACATACTTTTGCGACATGCCTTGCGAAGCAGCGACCCTACAAGAGCTTCACGGNCGACTGAATCGAAGGCTCCTTTTAGGTCAAGGAACACTGCAATTGTTGGTCGACGATGTGTGTGGTGCAATTCGAAGACTTGACGCAGAGTAAAGATTCGGTTGATGCAACTGCAACCTGGTAGAAGTCCCTGCTGGCTCTTCGCGAATATTCATCTCCCTTAAGTGTGTCAGATATCGAAGTATCGCAGCAGTCAACACTTTTGTGTTTATCATGACTAAACTAATTCCGCAGGGGTTTGCGCAGTCGTTGCATGATCCCTTCTTGAAGATCTGAACGATCGGCGGTTCACCCCAGGATAAGGGGATACGCTCCTCCGATCAAATGGTGCTTCTGCTGAGTCGACGAAGGAGTCACCCTCGAGCATGAAAAGAATGGGGAGAAACCCATCAGGTCCGGCAACCTTCCCTTCGCGCATGGTTGCCAGTAGTTGGTGGGTTGCTTGTGTGGACTGAAAATAATATGAGATCATTCTCAAAATACTGCAACCACAGCTTAAATATGAATTTACAAGGTTGAGGTAATGATTTTCACAGCAAAACTGTCATGTAATCGTTGCAACTGACATAATCATTGTAATGTTATCATTCTTAACAATATGTTATCATTATTGTTTTCATCTAGATAGAACTAACCTTGTGGGATACAGCTGGTCAAGAGGATTACGATCGTCTGCGGACTCTTTCTTATCCTGATACCAACGTCATCCTCATGTGTTTTAGTATCGATTCTCCTGACAGCCTGGCTAATATTCGCGAAAAATGGATTGGAGAGGTTAGTTCGTGTTTCGCACCTGTGTGTAAGTATTCTCAAGTCCAAGAGGTAAAACGATATTTTTACAAGTAAATAGTGCAAAACTGAAAAAAGTGCAGATACCTCACACTTTTTCTCCTGCATCCATCTGTTGGGAATTTTAAAGATTAGATTACTACTTTCTATTTAGTTCTAAGGTGGATTTTTGTTTCACCCACGATCGACATCAGTTCACCTGTTGCTTTCTTTTCTTACACCAATGATCGTCTTGTTTGTACGCTTTTGCATTCTCGCCTAATCTCTTGTTCGATTCATTACAGTCATCCTGATCATGATTCTTATGGTCGGGTAGACCACTACAGTAAGCAGTAATGCAGCCTTTGTCATCAAGCATAGTATATATATTGTCCAGTCATTCACATACTACTTATTATCATGGATATATGTATTATAAGTAGTATGTAAATGACTGGACAAAATTTCCCTGGAAGCATGTATGTACATCACTGTCGGATTTCACTTTCTCCTCCTATGTTATTTCTTATGCGGGAAGTTCCACTTCTTGTGGCATCCGGTTGATGATTTTTGTTTATGTTTCGCTAAATACGTTACAAGAATATTATTTCCGTGTCATTGCGTTTACCTGTTCTGTTTTATGGAAAGAGATTTTTACAATTTACTTTGAACGAATAATCTATCACTTTTTTGGTTCCGCCAACAGACTCATCATGCACAGTACAGCATTTGAGTGACCGCTTGCTCCATCTAGACAAAACAACACTCAACCCTGAGTGAGTGTGAGAGAGAGAGCATTCGATCAATAACACGTTTCCTCTAAGGGTTGTCATCATAGAACGCAACACTGTGAATGGGTGGGTGTTGATGATTGTCTATCAATTTTACCGTCTGAGAACCGCCCATGCACACGCGGTTCGGCTCGTGATGCTTACTTTCTCGATTGGAATGCACACAACGCTATGCACCACGTGGTGCCCTTACCTACCATCTTTTTTTACCGATGTTGAATAATCACGTATGGGTCTAATTGATAGCGCTGATCCAAATCGGACACAATAGTTCCTGATAAGTCAGCCCACGAATTCTGATAATCATGCTTATTCGTGCTTTAATTTTCGTTGATGGCATGCTTGTGACAATCTGAGTTCAATGTGAACATTGAGAATGCAAAATCAATGCTGGATGACGTTACGTAGATAGGCGGTCTTCAGTTCGTCCTTCAGTTCATAATAATGATAGTTATCTGTAATAATAATAATAATAATTAACAGAATGCTCCATCCACACAGATGATTTTAGTACTTCCGGCGCATATCGTTCATATTTTTTTCACCAGATATTGGCATATTGGCATCACACATTGTGAAGTTTGGCGTGTCGGAACACAATTGTCTTCCATGCAGTAGATAAATCGTTGCATCACCACATAACCCCAGAGTTGTACACTGGCGTGATCAGTTATCCGTAATGTGGCTTTCGCTGCAATATTTTACAAATTGGTACTTCTTGCAGCACTTGACCAATTCTACGCATTCTCCTGACATTTGACATTATTAAAGTTCAGTGTTTTAAATCTCAATTCATTAGTTATCATCTTCGTTTTTGAAAGGCTTTGCGTCTTTTCAGTGACAATATGTTCCCCCGTATACGCTTTCGCCCCCTCCCCCGTGTACTAGATTAGTCATTTCTGTCCCGGAGTTCCTATTGTTCTGGTCGGTCTAAAGAAGGATTTACGCACCGATCCGGGCACAAAGAGCCAACTGATGCGAATGCGCCAAGAACCTGTCAGATCGGAAGAAGGAGCTGCGATGGCCGCAGAAATCAAAGCATACGCGTATCTGGAATGTTCCGGTAAGCTCTCTCTATATATCTGCATATATATCAATTCAATTTTTGCAACCAATAACCATGCACTTATAGAGGAATTAGTTTAATCAACATCGTCTCTAAACTTCTCACTGGCATCATACTCCGCCGATTGTCTGCCTAACGCGAACGGTGCACGCGTGAGAACCAGGCTGGTTTTAGACCCGGTTGAGGTTGTATCGACCACATCTTCACTCTGCGCCAAATTCTGGAGCACCGCATTCTTTTCGTAGACCCACCATCTCCGTCTTTCTAGGTCTGAAAGCGGCTTTCGACTCAGTCGACCGCTCTAAACTCTGGCGCTGCCTTTCTCTGAAAGGTGTGCCCAAGAAGTTAATTTCAATATTACAATCGCTTTATA